CGCTGCTCCAGCCCCGGACAATGCACCAGGTAGACCCTTTCCTCGCCCCTTCCCGCCAGCCTGGCCTGACTCCCTTACAGGGCCCTACACCTTTCCCAACCTAAGCTTCCTTCCCGCTCTGGGCACCTGGAGTTGCTTTCCTGTCCTTGCCTGGAGGCCTATGATAGCCCCTCCCCCAAGCCCCCCAGCTCGTCCCCTGCGTGGGCAGAAGTACTGAGTTGGGATCTAGGGACAGTGTGACAGAGGGACTAAAGGAGAGAGTTTTGTCTGATCGGCCTCTCGTGGCTCCAGCTGCCTTCTGCAGAGTGGGCCAGGCCGAAGGCTCAGAGTTAGAGGGGCCCCCAACTCCCAGTGTATTATAGAATGATGGCTGGAGGGAGGGCCACCTCACTGACCCTGGGCTTCCCTTCCTTCACTGAGATCCCTCGTCCCTACTCAATATCCAGCAGGGTAGGGGCACACTAATGACATGGGTTAGTCCTCCACATAGAGGGCATAACGGTAGAGAGACTCAGAGGTCCTGGCAAGGGTAGACTGGTGCAGGATCTCAACCCATCCTGAGCATAACCAGGAATCTACACCAGACTCCAGCCCTATCTAGGCCTCTAGAACTTGGCCCCAAGCCCCAGGGGGAATGAGACATACTTATGGGATGGAGGTATGGGTATACATCCCACCTCACACCAAGTTTCTGGGGTTCACGTCTTCTCTTTCTATCCCCCTGCTCAGGGTACCACTCTTCTGCTTCCCAGTGACTTGGAATAGGGGAGCCTCCGAGACTAGACAATGACTGCCTTTTCCCAGAACATCTCAAAGCAGCTGCTGCTCACTGCCCACTGCCCAGGATGGGGGGCAGCAGCCCAAAGAGTACTCAGATTTCCAGTGCAACCCCAGATCTATCTGTGACTCTTGCCGGAGACCTGGGAAGAGGGAGCAATGAGAGGAGACCTTTGGGGGCAAACTGTAGTTAGTATGCCAGACTATAACAAAGCCTCTCCCTTTGCCCTTTCTGAATGATTTTAACACCCTGTCTCTTAAGGGGTCAGTTTTTCTGTCATTCTGTCTGTCTTCATTTCTGTCTGTCTTTACTTCTCCACCCCCCCACCCCGCCCCCATAGCTCGCCCTCTTTGTCTTTCAGTTTATTGTTCTTGAGTGTGTTTAAGCCTCTCTCGTCCTCTCTCCCCTCTGTCACTGTCTCTGGGGATTTCTGTCTCTCAGATCACTTCGTCTCCTCTGTCCTTTTTCTGTATGTCGATGCCCATGCCAACTTCTGCCATCTCTCCTCTTCCCCCAGGATGCCCACTATCCCCAGCCTTCTCCGCCGCCGGTGAATGGTTCATTGGAACAGGAGCCTCAAAAGCAGCTCCCGGAGATGCTAGGTGAGGTCTGGGAACCGCCTCGAGGGGACGGACTGCCACTGCTCTCGGTCATCATCACTGCCTTTGTCCTACTAGCGATCTGCATCGTCCTGGCAGTTCACTTCGGGCCGGCCTTGCACCAGGGCCATGCCACCCTCCCTACAGAGCCTCCAGCCCTAAAGCCAGAGAACGGCATTTACCTCATCCACTGGCGGCTGCTAGACCTCCAGGACAGTCGCAGAGAAACCCAGCAGGGACTTCCTATTCCTCGCTCTGGCCTTGTCCTAGGTGGGCACAGGCCCAGCATTGATGAAATCACGTATCTGTAGGAGGGTGATATGCAGTTAGCCTGACTGGTCTCAGAACAAGAAACTGGAATGTGAAGTGGAACCTGGATGTCAGAGCTGCAGACAGGCCTCTGGACTTGGCTAGAGCAACCCTCAGAAAGCTCCACGGCAATAAGAGAAGTGAAAACCACCCTGAGGACCTTGCCCACACACATGGTGCCAAGGCCACCCTTACAAAGTTTCCCCTCAGGGATCTCCAGATCCTCCTCAGAGTTCCTGTTCCCTTCCCGTACCTCTCATCTTCATCCCTTTTGGAGCAAAGTGAAGATTCCATCCCTGAGCAGGAATATCAGAGGTCTACAGAGAAGGCCCTGCGTCCGCACTGCCGATCCAGGGAGAGCTAAGGCGAGAGGAACTGTGGGGTGTCTTCTCTGAGACACTGGGGACTTGTCAAAAGAGGCACCTCTGTTACCTTCCAGCCTTTGGAGGGCACCTTGGCTGTTAGCCTAGGCCTTGTTGATGACATCCAAAGCCCTTGGAATCCTTAATCTCCATGTAAGAGTTCCAAGACTGGCCTTGATTTGTCCCCCAACTCTGCCTTGACATCCTTGAGAGTGATGGGGAAGGGGGGCGGGTTGTGAGCTCTTATTACCTCTTATTTTCTGAGTAAGGGTGGGCCTGTTGGAACAAGCCTAAAATTCATTATAAATCACTTCCAGATCCAGAATTTTCCAGCTAGTGGGGAAACAGGAAAAGAAAATGAACGCTATGGAACTTGTTTGGGAAAGGAGGGGGCGTGAAGGGGTCCATCACTGTTGGGAAGTAGCATAGTTCATCCTGGAGCCAGGAAAATGTGGGCTGGGGCCAGGAAAACTAAGCCGGGCTTCCTGGTGACTCTCGGGAAAGGCACCCTTTTCTCTGATACCTCAGCACCTCATTCGTGTGCAGTTACAAACATAAACCACATAAACTGGGCAGTGGCACAGCTTTTTAATCTAGTACTTGAGAGGTGGAGACAGAAGTTCAAGGTCATTCTCAATGACACAGCAAGTTTGAGGGCTAGCCTAGACTATATGATACCCTGTTTATTAAGAAAAGAGGCAGGGTACTGAAGACACCGCTCAGTGGTTAAGAGCAAATGACTGCTCTTCCAGAGGACCATGGTTCAATTCCCAGCACCCACATGGCAGCTCACAACTGTCTGTAACTCCAGTCCCAGTGGATCTGGCAACCTTCACACATTACATGCAGGCAAAACATCAGTGCACATAAAATTAAAATAAAGTTAAAAAAAATGAAAAGGGGGGGTGGTGGTTAGTTGTGCTGGTGAATGCCTTTAATCCCAGTACTCAGGAGGCAGAGGCAGATGCATCTCTGAATTCAAGAATTCTAGGCTAGCCTGCTAGCCTGGGCTACATAATGAGGCTCTTTCTTAAAAAAAAAAAAATTGAAGACATTTATGAAGACACCTACGCTGCTTGACCCTTGGGGAAGATCTTAAGGAGAAGTCAACCTTAAGGCCCTGGCCTCAGGGGAACCCCACAGAAGGAGAGAGGCTGGGAATCAGGGAAGTGGGGGAGGAGCAGAGTGGGGTCAAAATCTGTACAGAGAATGAACTCACCTCCTTCTCACTGCTTAAGAGGCAGCTGTGAGCCCGGAGGTAATGGCACACACCTTAATCCCAGCACTCAGGAGGCAGAGGCAGGCTGATCTCTATGAGTTCAAGGCTAGCCTGGTCTACAGAGTGAGTTCCAGGACTCCCTGGGCTACACAGAGAAACTGTCTAAAACAAAACAAAAAAGGACAACCCACCAACCATGGTGGACACAGGAGGTACCAAGCAATGAGGCCAGGATTTGAACTTGAGCTACACCGGCCTAGGAACCACCCTGGGGACTGGTGGGTTGAACATAGTCAAGCTAGGGAGGCCCTTGATTCTGGGCTGGTTGCTAGAGAAGGAGTCAACACTGTGTGTGATAGAGACTCCTCAGTGTTGGGGTCAAGATGGCATGACAGTCAGAAAGGGAAGGGACTGCTCACCCCCCACCCCCACCCCGGGCCACTTGATTCTCCTGGCTCTGCCGTCCTCAGAGCGACTGGCCTCCTCTGACATGTGTGTATGATTTCTCCAAAGTGACACTTGAGAAACAGATGAGGGCCTAGGTAGAGTGCTTGCCTATGTGAACAAGCCTGCAGATTTGATCCTCGGTACTGGAGAAAACACATACACATAAAACAAACAAAAACAACTACATAGTGGCATCCTGAGCCCTGGTGATGGAAACAAAGGTAGAGAGCGGCCATGTGGGAAGCCTGGGTGGAGCTGGTAAGATGAACTGTCTGCCCTCCCAGATGGGGGTGACAGCGCCACCACAATGCTGTTACAATGGCATAAGGTAGGCTAGGTGACTGTCATCCAGTGTCCCCAGGGAACGTCCTAGCTACTCACTGATCCTTTCACAACTTTCTCATCTGTGAACATCTGTCCAGTGGCCTCTGCTTCTCTGGAAGGTCCCTTCCCCGAGACACAGCTGTGCAGCACTTGTGAGATCGGTGTGCTAACTCCACTCAGCCCGGCTCCTCCTGCCTGCCATTGGAGGCAAGGCCATTGAAAGCAAAGGTGGGGTGTGCCCTCAGTGTGACCGGTGGGCTCTGTCTGGATTGAAATGACACCTGTCCGCGATTCCCCAGTAGCAGGATGAGGAGGCGTGCAGAAAGCGTACGCAGCCACACGTGGGTGTCAGAGGTGATGCACTCCCGGGCCTCAGCCATCGAAGCCTGGCCGCACAAAGACGGTGTGCTCAAACTGGGTAGTACGAGGAGTGTCTTTCAGAGGACCACGTACAAGGGACAGGATATAAAAGAGACCACAGAGAGTAAGTAAGCCAGCGTCACACAGATACCGGGGCTGGGGAAAGGAGAAGGGACCCTTCCCAAAAACTAGATACGGTCACAGAAAAGGCGGTCTGGCTGGACGGCCCACTGCGACTGCATATAATTAACAGCACAAATGCTCCTGACTTGCCCTCCTCCCTCCCTCCATTCATCTACTGAAGCTCCCGCTGAACACACATGACCAGAAGCTGGTCTGCTGATCCCACCCAGACAGGTCAACAAGGAACAGAGAATGCTGGAGCATCCACGGGAAATACTTGGCCTATCTCTCTCTCTCTTTTTATTAAGAAATTTTTTTTATTTATTTTGCATACCAATCACAGATCCCCCTCTTCCCTCCTCCCACCCCTCCAGCCCCCCCACACCCCATCCCCTCCTACAAGAAGGTAAGGCCTCCCATGGGAAGTCAGCAGAGCCTGGTCCATTCAATAGAAGCAGGTCCAAGCCCCTCCCCCTGCCTCAAGGCTGTGCGAGGTGTCCCACCGCAGCCACTGGGCTCCAAAAAGCCAGCTCATGGACCAGGGGTGGATCCTGATCCTACTGTCAGGGGGCCTCATAAGCAGATCAACCTACACAACTGTCTCGCTGGGCCTTTGACCTAACTCTTAAGTTTACCTGGCAATTGACACTAAATTTCTACATGGTTAGTCCTCACAAAAACCCTGTGAAATAGGCAGGGCACCCATTATAATCCCATTCAACAGGGGAGTAGGCTGAGGCTCAGAGAGGCAAAATGGCCTGCCCAGGAACATGGGACTCATCTGGAGATGTGAAATCTCTGTGAGGTCCTCCAGCCATTGAGGGAAACCACTGTAAGGAGGCTGAAGGATCAGCAGCAGCTCAGACCAGGCTGTCTTGTGCCTCAGATGAGGTCAGTTCGGAGCGGGAGAGGCTGCTCCATATCACTGATGAGGAGTCTTGGCTCTTGGGACAGCACAGAGGAACGAGACACCTCTGAAGTCTGGGGGCCACTCATGGTAACTTCTTCCCTTTCTTCCTGACGAATGTGCCGGAGAACCTCCTGAGACAGTGAGAAACTGTTTCCATCTTTGGGTTCTGGAACAGGGAATGTAGGGTGGGGGTTAGGTGGGGACCTTACACACTCCCAACAAGGATGCATGTACCCTTAGGAACTGCTAGGGCGATCCTTCAGCCTCCTTACCCTCTCCCGATCTACCCCACAGCTTCTGGGGGGGACCCAGAGCTGGGAGTGGTTGTCAAGGTCATAGATGCCCACCTTCCTGCTTTTAGAAATGATGTTCTGAAAGACCTGCCTAAAGGCCACTTAGCCAGGGAGTGGCACAGGCAAGGCTGGCCACATTTGGGTGGCAAAAGATGTCTACCAGGGGAGGAAATGGGCATGCACGACTCCTGACCACGTGGCAAAGTCCAGAAAACTCTGCTTCCTTGCTCTCTGATCCACTGTGAGGTACTGGAATTCCTGATTTCTGCCCTCCAAGCCTATCAGTCTCTCACCTTGGTAGGCAATGAGGCGGCAGTTGTTTCTAGATTCAGGGACGTTGGCCAGGATGTCTTCAAGTGTCCGGCAGAAGAGTTTGGCCTGCTCAAGCCGATCTTCCCGACTAAAGCCAGCTTTCCCATCCTGTGACATGGCAAACAAGGTCTGCAAGGGGGTAGCATACTCCAGGATACAGGTGCCTGCCTGGAGGAGGTGAGAACAACATTAGACTGAGCCAGGACCCTGACAGACGAATTGTGGGCCTGATGCCATGAGCTATGGCCCTCCACTCCCTCAGTCTGCAGAACAAGAGTCCTGGGACATGACTGCCCCCTTCCTAGCCAAAGGCCTGGGGTACCCTAAACACTCTTCACAGATCCTTCCCCCATGATCCTAGAGCATGGTAATCTGGATGAAAACGGAGTCTGGGGGAGTGCTCTGGGGCTGGGCTTTGCTCTGGGCTTTCCCACACCCAACTCAGTTCTTCAAATGCTCCCACATTTCACACTTTGATTGTTGTGTCCCTGAGCCCCACTTTCCTTCGTTGTAGAAGTAGGGATCACAGCATTCCCTGCCCCACAGGTGTAGCACGAATCTTAGAAGGTCTTATTAATAAAAAAAAAAAAACCTCGGGTCCAGGTATTGGGGTGAACGCTGGTAGATCAGAGAAACAGAACAAGCCACAGCCACCTCACCTTGCCAGTTCCTCAGCTGGTCCTGTTTCCTCAGAATGGAAACCTCTGTGTCCTCATCCGGAATGAATCTCAGCTGAACTGTTGCTCAAAAGCCTAAAAGCTTAACCAGGCTCTAGTTCCTGATTTTCATACCTTATATATCTTTCTGCTTTCTGCCATCACTTCCCGTGATTAAAGGCGTGAGTCACCATGCCTGGCTGTTTCCAGTGTGGCCTTGAACTCACAGAGATCCAATGGATCTCTGCCTCTGGAATGCTAGGATTAAAGGCGTGTGTGCCACTGTTTTCTGGCCTCTATGTCTAGTAGCTGTTCTGTTCTCTGACCCCAGATAAGTTTATTAGGGTGCACAATATCTTGGGGAACACAATATCACCACACACAGGTTGGTGGTAGGCTTAAATGAGGTGGCTATTTGGTGCACACAGACTAGCTTCTGGTATACAGTAAATGCTCCATAAATATTACTCTTCAATGTAGTTCATAACTGAATCTTGCCTTGTCCTGGACCAGCTGTGCAGCCAGGCTCAGAAAAGAGTTATGAGTTCTTACCAGTGTGTGGCTAGGGATCCAGGGTTCTAGGGAGATGGGCCTTTTCCCCAAGCCCAGTTCTGTACACTTACTGGCTGCCCATTCTCCAGAAGCTCATAGACACTGTTGGAATAAACCCGATTCTTGATGCCAGCCCGGTCTAGGCTTTGCTGGGGCAGCATGTCTCGGAAGCGAATGTTGGGGTCAGCCACACTCAGGTCATCAGGCACCCCACAGTCCAAGGGGAAGAGAATATATAGCCTTCGGCTCTGTGCCCCCTGTAGCATGTTGTTATGTAGCCGATTGAACGTTCGGATCCGGTCCTGGAGTCCTGCCATGGAGAAGCCCAAGAAATCATCTCATTAACTTTGTCTCTCACCTAATCTAGAACTGAGACCCAGGTCAGACCCAGCCAGTGGTTAAGAGCACTGATTGCTCTTCCAGAGGACCTGGGTTCAATTTCCAACACCCATGTAGTGGCCACTCATCTGTAGTTCCAGTTACAAGGACTCTGATGCCCTCTTCTGGCCTACTAGGCACACACACACACATTGCACACAGACAAACATGCATTCAAAATGCCCATGTGCATAAAAATATACTTTAATAAATTAAACAAATAGATAATAAAATAAATCTTTAATAAAATAAGATTAAAATGAAATGTGAATGATAATGACCCCATGTAGTATATGAGTTAAAAGAGAAAAGGAACATTAGAGAGATCTGGCATGTTATAAATATTTTTCAAAAGCATTCATGGGGGCTGGAGAGTTGGCTCAGCAGTTAAGAGTACTTACTGCTCTTCTAAAGAATTCATTTATTTTTATTTTATATGCATTGGTATTTTGCCTTCATGTATGTCTGTGTGAGGGTGTTAGATCTTGGAGTTACAGACAGTTGTAAGCTGCCATGTGGGTGCTGGGAATTGAACCCAGGACCTCTGGCAGAACAGCCAGTGCTCTTAACTGCTGAGCCATCTCTCCAGCCCCCTTGCTGCTCTTCTAGAGGACCTGGGCTCATGATTGCTAACCATCTGTTACTCCAGTTCCAGGAGAGCCAATGAATGGCCTTTTCTGGCCTCTGCAGGCACCAGGCACTCACATGGTACCCAGACATACAAGCAGGCAAAACACCTATACAAGTAAATTTTAAAAAACAAAAAAGCATTCATGGAAAGCCAAGTGTGGTGGCACATGTCTGTCATCCCAGTACTTGAGTCAGAAGGATCACAAGTTCAAGGCCAGCCTGGTTTACACATGAGTTCCAGGCCAGCCAGGGATACTAGCAAGTTTCTGTTTCAAAAGACAAAAAGAAGAAAAGGGAAGGGAATGATACAGGAAACTGGCTGTAGTGGCACACACCTATAATCCTAGCTTTTAGACTAAGGCAGGGGGAGAATTACCAGTCTAAGGACTACCTGGGCTACATAGTGCACCTACAAGCACATAGCACACAAAATTCACATAGACACACACTCACAGACACAAGTTACAACAAATAAATCTTTGCCAGGTGGTGATGGTGCACGCCTTTGATCCCAGCACTCGAGAGACAGAGGCAGGTGGATCTCTGAGTTCGAGGCCAGCCTGGTCTACAGAGTGAGTTCCAGGACAACCTGGGCTACACAAAGAAACCCTATCTTTAAGGGAAAAAAAAACCTAAATAAATAAATCTTTAAAAAAAGAAAGAAGACCAGGCTGTCAGCAGGTAAAAGTTGCTACAAAGGCTGACACTGTGAATTGGATCCCCAGAACCCATGTAAAGGCCAGAATGTGGCAGAGTGTTATAATCCCAGCACTCCAATCGAGAGATCAGAGGCAATGACAGGGGAGTTGGCTATGCAGCCCCAGAAACAAGAAAGACCCTGCCTTGCCGGGGATTTGGTGGCGCACGCCTTTAATCCCAGCACTCGGGAGGCAGAGCCAGGCGGATCTCTGTGAGTTCGAGGCCAGCCTGGGCTACCAAGTGAGCTC